GGGAGCCAAGCGCAGTGGGCACAGCAGAGGGAACTTTCACTGCAGGGAGGCAGCGCTTTTACCAGGGAGAGTATGGGGCTGGCTGTTGCCTGTCAAGGTATGCCAATTTTGCCCGTTCTTCACCCCCGAGTAGGTCGCAAACACCGCTCTCCACCCCTCCCATTCTACGCTTGCATGTGCTCGTTTGCTTGCAATTCTGCTCACCCCCTCCCACTTCCCGTCCTTCTTTCTTGTTCCAGGTTCTGTTGTATGCCTCCTTTCCCCCTGTCCCTCCACCCACCCTCCCCCCACACTCCCCGGTTTCCTCCTTCCGATGTAAAGTCTTTCATGTTATATTCTCACATATCTCGTCTCTGCGTCAAAACATAGTCTTTGTGCACATACCACGATCGTACCCTCCGCCCCTCTCCTTTGCAGGTTACTCAGCCTGTGGTTCCAAGCGGCCTCTGGTGTCAAGGAGCAGTGGCAGGCAAGCAAGGCGCACCAACCAAGCACGTGTGGCACCGGGGCTGGTCGTGGCCTCGCAAGGTAAGACCTCTACTTTGTGTTTGCTCTTTCCTGCTTCTCTCGCTTTCGGTAATTAAGACTGTTATAGCCCCTTTGCACTCATGTTTCAGATCCGGCCTTCCATGTCTCAAGGCCTGTACTCACTCACTCGGCTTCTGCCCTCCTCTCCCTTGTTCCCGCCTTTCAGAGAGCTTGTGACTCAGCAGGGGGGACTGTCACTACAGGGAGGCAGGCTGCAGCAGTTAGCAGCCGCTATTACCAGGGATAGCTATCAAGGTAAGCCCCTCTCGTCGCTTTTGTCATTTCTTGCTGCTCTCACTTTCTGTTACCAAGTCTGTGAATACCCCTTCGAGCCTATGTCTTTAGATTCTCTCGTACCTGTTTCTTGGCCTGCACTCACTCGCCTCTGCCATTCCCTCCGCTCTGCCCCATTCCCTCCGCTCTGCCCCATTCCCTCCGCTCTGCCCCATTCCCTCCGCCCTGCCCCATTCCCCTCTGGACACTCATGATGCAGCAGAGGAAGCTGAGTGGCACGCTGGCAACACCAGTTGCTGCAGCAGAAGCGCAGCGTTCGAGTGCAGAGCCCCAGTGCGGGAGGGGAGGGAGGGTATACGGGGCAGCATCCAAATGGTGACTATTCAACTGCTAGCTCCGTGGCTTCTTACGGGAATTACCCTTTCGTTCTGCTCCGGTGAGTCAACTTCCTGACCTTCCAGTGAGCCATCGCCCTCACCTTCACCCTCTCACCTTCCAATGAGTAAACGCTTCTCCTTTCCTTCCCACGAGTCAACGCTTCTCTTTCCCGCGAGTCAACGTTTCTGTGAGTCAACTCTTCTCCTTCCGGTGAGTCAACCATCTGGCCGAGCCATCGAATCTCTGGCCAAGTAACCCTCCGGTTAAGCCTTCATTTCTTTGGCCGAGCAGCAGCAACGGGTTATGGCGCCATCTTTGCTTCCATGCTGCTCGTCTCCTTTTCCGCTCCATCGCATGCTCTACTCTGTAAGCTCTACACTGCTCTCCGGCAAAGAGCCTTTCTTTGGAGTGTGGTGCACTGTTTGTTGTGAGGCAGCGGCGGTGCAGTGAGGAGGTTTAGCGGTGTGCCTGCCGCCATCCCTGGGCCTGGACCATCATTTCTACCAGTGCTCACATAACATGCTGCACCAATACGTGCTTCTCTCTCCCACCCTGTTTCCCAGGCTGCAAAGGGCGGTACAGGTCCTTGGGAAGGCAGAGAAGCAGCACAAACACATACACTGGAAGTGGAGGTCTGAGCCTTTTTCAGAAAGCCTGTAACTACCTTGCTCTCCTCGTCCCCTTCCCACGTGCACTCAGCAGGTCTTGCATTCGCATCCTGCTTCTCATTGCTGTTACCACTCCTCCCTTGATCTTTCATGCCATCACACCCTTTGCCATGCGGGACATGTTCCAAACTAGGTATTTTTCAAGCAACAATTACCTGTACTCAGTTTACTCTGTTGCATGCCCCCCCTTTTTTTATGTAAGCAGCTACAGTTTGGGAAGGAAAGACAGAAGAATGATGTCCAAGGGTGCTACCTTTGTAGCAGATACAGTCAGTGGCTTACGAAATTAGGCTATACAGTACAGTATGTGTTGTCAAACCTCGCCACCCCACCAGGCCATGATGCTTGGGATTCAGTAGGGTAGGAGCAACATTGTGGTATGGTACGGTGTGAGGTATATTGAAGTGGATAAGGTGGGAGGTACGGTATGGTATGCGGCAAGGCATAGCAGCAGGGAACAGGGTGCTGCAAGGAGACTGCTAGAGGCACAGCAACAAAGAGTACGTAGTTGGGTCAGGTCAGGACTCAGGAACCCACTGGCAGCAGGGATACTGACAGGGACACACTAGCAGCAGGGAATGATGGCAGGAATACACTAACTGCAGGAAATGATTGCAGGGACACTCTGACAGCGGGGAATAACGACAGAGACGCACTAACCGCAGGGAATATTGGCAGGGGTACACTAACAGCAGGAAATGATTGCAGGGACTCTCTGACAGCAGGGAATGACGACACAGAAGCACTAACTGCAGGGAATATTGGCAGGGGTACACTAGCAGCAGGGATTCTGGCAGGAATACACTAACAGCAGGGAATACTGGCGGGAACACACTAACAGCAGGGAATATTGGCAGGAATACACTAACAGCAGGGAACAATGGCAGGTATACACCAACAGCAGGGCAAAAACACACTTAGTACTGCAGATGTTGGTGAATACACTAAGAGCAAGGGAATGATGCAGCAGCAACACACTAACAGCAGGGAATCACGGTTGTACCATAATAGGGACACAATGACAGCAGGGAATGATGGCATGAACTGTTGAATTATATTTGCATATCCTGTTATAACTGCCTACAGCTTGCTAGTGTATTAGTTAGATATTAAGTTCAACTGCTGGTGGTGTACCCTTTTCCCCTTCCTCTCCTTCCTATTTGTACTCCCAACTTCATAATGAAAGCCCTCTTTTGGCCAAACTTCTCCCTCCATGATTCTCCTTGCTAAACCTCTCCTAAACCTAAGTACTGCATAATCTCCTAATCTTAACATGAACACACTACGACAGGTAATGTTGGCATAGCAGGGTCACGCTGACAGCAAGGAATGACGGAAGGAACATACTGTAGCAGGAACCCACCAGTAGCTCAAGAGAGTGCACTAACAGCAGGGCATGATGGCAAGGCAGGTAACCTTTGGTAGTCAAATTAAAATCAGTCCTCTCAGTTACCACTAAATGTGCCTCATGGTGTTGTTTGAGAAGAGATGACAACTTAGGGATTGGGTTTGGTACGTTAATTGATGTACAGAAAAAACGGCATGCGTTTTATTGAACTGGATACGTTCCAACTGTGTAGACATCAATGCAACTTGGTTTGTTCAGCAACTTTTTCCACTTTCGCTCCCGAGGAATGCTCGTAGTATTCCACAGCGCCAGCAGCCAGCAATGCCGCCAATGTCAATGCTTGAGCGTGTAGCCTGTGGGACATATAGGAGGAAAGGAGCAAAAATTACATGAAGAGGCTGCCACTGAAGTGACCACTTTTTGAGTGCACAAAGCCATAAAAAATGAAGTGCTGTTGTGAACAGCAAATAGCACAAGGGTAGGCAGGGAGGCGCATGTCGTATGTGTAACTAACAATACTTGACAGGTTCACCGGAGAGAAGCCTCAAGACTACAACAAACAACACGCCTAGAACTTACCGAGCATGAATGATCTTGACGCTCATCTTCTCCCCCGGCTTGCGGAGATTATACAAAATGGATCCACCCACCGCTGACGCCCATAGAGTACCTGTGATGGCGGACACAAAAAGAGGTGAATGAAAGAAAATGGGGGAAAGTACTGTAGCAATGTCTTTGATACTCCAAGACCGCCATAGAGAACCTCGAAACAAGCTCTCTGAATGACAACGATTGTCGCTGTCATCTATCACTGTTTATAAAGCCATGACACCGCTAACGCCTATGATCACCTGATGGACTGGCAGACGCAGACTGTCATGTCACAACCAGATCACCAAAACGCGGTCGCCGAGATCCGTTCACAGACGTCACGAAGCACGTGGTGTTTCGTAACTCGTTCTCACGATCCGTTCGAGGCAACGTGTCGCTGCTCGTTTTCATGAGCAGCAAAAATGTGGGGACAATTGTGATACTAACGGGGCTTTAGTTGCACTCACCAACGGCCTTGATCTTGTTCTCCACGACCCACTTTCTGAATCCCGCAGCGGTGTAGAAATCTGAGCTCGGCGCGCTTGCAGATCCGCTCGCAGAGTCGGCCATTGCGTCTTTCTTCGGTTCAGTCCGTTAGCTGTTGACGAAAGAATCTGTTGACTCGCACTTTAACGACAGAGCAAATGTTGTCGACCGGCGAAGACGCTCGATGACGCTATGCAGGAGTTCTGTACGCGATCTACACTTAGACGCGGTGGACGGCGATCGTTACGAAACAGCGCAGACGGGCTAGGCGATTAACAGCGAGGCACGATACGGAAACGTGTCAGACAAAGGAAGAGTGCCTGAAAGGAACACTGGTGAATTCACAGTTCTACTGAAGAATGAAGGAAAATCACTAGTTGAATGAAGAACACTCGAGTCAAGTCGAGAGTGCAGAGCTGCCTCGAGATGGGAGAAGTGTGGCAGAGGAGGAGAAAGGCAGTTGATGGAGGTGGTTGGTGAATCGGGCTGATTTGAATGCGGTTTTGTGCGTTTTAGACGAAAGCGGTGGGGTGGAAATGAATAATATGCGATGCTTCTGGTGCAGTTTCCTGACATTCCAGCATCGACGCGCGCCAGCGCAGCAAGCACCGCTGGCAGGCATTGGCGCGGAAACGCGAAACCATTTACGCGAAACAGGTAGGCTCGTTTACACATTTTTAATTTAGAAATATTAATGAGACTACTTCGATAGTATTTACGGTAGGCTTGTGTTTATCATAATATGCGAATATAATTTTAATACAATTTCACCTTTTCTTGACATGGCATGAAAACTTCATCCCCGGATGTGCCTTCAGGGTCTCCTCCAAGGCTACAGGAGCCGAGAATCCATCATCAAACAACCCACTGTACAGATCCCTCAAGAACAACCCCAACCTCTCTTCCTCCACCTTTGCACTTGCTTGCTCCTTCTCCGCCGCCAAACCAAACACCCGATCCTCCCGACCAATCCAAGTCTCCACGTCATCCAACCAGGCCTCCCTCTTCCCCATCCTACCCAAATCCCCACCCGCTGCTGCCGCCGCGAATTCCGAACCCATCGCTCCTTGATAAGCCGAGTCAACACGAGGAGACATGCCAACTGCCGCCGCAGCAGCAGCAGCAGCAGCAAAATGTCCAGGCAATGAAGAGGAACCGGCAGCGGGAGGAGCGATGACAGCCTTGGCTCCAGTGTCGAGAAAGGCGTCTACGAGGGCGGCGGGGGGCCCCTGTTGGCCCGTGCAGACGATAATGCGATCCCTCCACGAGGATGCCTGTGTGGGTGGTCACAAAGAGAGCGGCAGGGAGAAAGGGAGGTAGAGAGGTGGGGAAAGGCATCTATGAGGGCGACGGGGGGCCCCTGTTGGCCCGTGCAGACGATGATGCGATCCCTCCACGAGGATGCCTGTGTGGGCGGTCACAAAGAGAGCGGCAGGGAGAAAGGGAGGTAGAGAGGTGGGGAAAGGCATCTATGAGGGCGGTGGGGGGCCCCTGTTGGCCCGTGCACACTATGATGCGATCCCTTCATGATGATGCCTGTGTGGGTGGTTGCAGGGAGGCGGAGGCAGAGAGAGGGAGAGGCAGGAGACAGGCCGTCAGCAGGGAGCCACGGAAAGATGGAGTAGAAGATTACACAGGACAGTGTGAAATTTGAGGCGAAATGTGCACACGACAACCACCATATGGCCACCCAGTAAGAGATTACACCAGCACGCATGATGAGGCCACATGCCATTGAGCCACGTGCCATCCAGCCACCATCCAAATGCATAACCCACCAACCACCACCATTCAACATCCACCACCCACCATCCATGCCCCACCCCTACCAACTCACCATCCAGAGAATGTCTGCATCTGTGAGGTGGATGGCGGGAGCCGTGCAGCTGAAGAGGTACGTGCTCACCTCCATGCCGCCAGGCAGGATCTGAGCAGGACGAACAGGGAAACAGACAAACAGGGAGACAGTGGCAGGCAGAAAAGCAATGTCAGCTTCTCGCCCAGCTCAGCCCACACATATAGTAGCTGTTGCGGTGTGTGAAGAGCTCCAAACCACCCTCTGTTAGTTCTGAGGAGGAAACGAGGGGAAACACTCAGCGATGGGTTTGGAGAAGACGCAGATAAGGTAAGGCACTTGCCATACCGTGCGTGACAACCCATCGAATGGGAATGGCAAGCCACTCAGCACACCTGTGTGGCAGCTAATGAATTGAGGAAAGGCAAAGCACTCAGCACAGCTGAGCATGGAAAGCAGGACTTTTTTCTCGGAAAAGCACAGACAAGTCGGCTTACCTGGGTGTGGCAGCCCATGAAGCGGTGCAGCACCCCATCCACCACAAAGCAGCTCGCCACATGCACCAACTCCCACAGACTCCTTTTGAGGCGGCTTGAAAGAGGGGCAGCACGTGGCATACCTGAGTGTGGCAGCCCATGAAGCGATGCAGCACCCCATCCACCACAAAGCAGCTCGCCACATGCACCAACTCCCACAGACTCGCTGGTGCCTTCTCCCCCGCTCCCCTGCCCCCTCTCCCTCCCCTTCCTGCTCCTCCCCCTCCTCCCCCAGCAGCACCAGACGGACCAACACCTCTCACACCACCACCAGCACCAGTACCAGCAGCAGCAGCAGCAGAGCCACCAGCAGGACTGGCAGCAGCTGCAGCAGCGGCAGCAGCAGTGACAGGAGCACCGGAAGAGCTCGGGGTTCCACTGATGCCCCTGGCACTGCCACCACCACTACCCGATGCACTCATCCCTACCGGGCCTGCTGATCCCGAACCTGCTGCCAGTCTTGCGCTTGCCGAACCTGCTGCGTTCACCGGACCAAGCCCGGGGGAACTGGCTCCTTGATGACCAGCAGCAAGCCCAACCAGATCGACCGCCGAAGCCGAGGTTGAACAAGGCGCCGAAGCAAGACCACCCGAACCAGACATTGGAGCTTTGGCAGCACCAGCACCAGGAGCACCCGCACCCACGCCAGCACCCACACCAGCACCAGCAGCAGCGGCAGAGGCAGCAAGGTTGTGGGCAAGAGCGGCAGCGTGGCGGCGAGCGGGGTTCCACCAGCCAATGCTGTCAATGGCCCGGGCCAGCAAGCGAGTGGCGGAGTCACTAGGCTCTGCCACTGACATGACTTCAGATGACCAGCTGAGAGGGCACATAGGGTGAGGGTGGTGGGGGAAGGATAGGAGAATGGGAAGAGGGTGAGGCGTATAGTCTGGGCGAGGGCAGCAGCGTGGCGGCGAGTGGGGTTCCACCAGCCGATGCTGTCAATGGCTCGGGCGAGCAAGCGAGTGGCGGAGTCACTAGGCTCTGCCACTGACATGACCTCAGATGACCAGCTGAGGGGGAAAGAAAAACCAAGAAGGGAACGTGAGGGAAAGTGTGAGGGAGCAGGAGGTGAGAGGCGGAGTCACTGGACTCTGCGACTGACATGACCTCAGAGGACCAGCTGAGGGGGAGGCAACACGGGACAAGGGGGAGTGATCGGAATGGGAGATAGGGACGAAAAGGTTGTGAATTTTTCGGTGCAAAGAGTGCAGGTGGAAGGCGGAGTCAATAGGCTCTGCCACTGACATGACCTCAGAGGACCAGCTGAGGGGGGGAGGGATGGAAGAGAGGATACGGGGTAAGAGAGTTGTGAGGGACAGAGAAAGAGAACAGGTGAGAGGTAGAATCACTGGGCTCTGCCACTGACATGACCTCAGATGACCAGCTGAGGGGGAGGCAACACGGGACAAGGGGGAGTGATCGGAATGAGAGATAGGGACGAAAAGGTTGTGATTTTTTCGGTGCAAAGAGTGCAGGTGGGAGGCGGAGTCAATAGGCTCTGCCACTGACATGACCTCAGAGGACCAGCTGAGGGGGGGAGGGATCGAAGAGAGGATACGGGGTAAGAGAGTTGTGAGGGACAGAGAAAGAGAACAGGTGAGAGGTAGAATCACTGGGCTCTGCCACTGACATGACCTCAGATGACCAGCTGAGGGGGAGGCAACACGGGACAAGGGGGAGTGATCGGAATGGGAGATAGGGACGAAAAGGTTGTGAATTTTTCGGTGCAAAGAGTGCAGGTGGAAGGCGGAGTCAATAGGCTCTGCCACTGACATGACCTCAGAGGACCAGCTGAGGGGGGGAGGGATGGAAGAGAGGATACGGGGTAAGAGAGTTGTGAGGGACAGAGAAAGAGAACAGGTGAGAGGTAGAATCACTGGGCTCTGCCACTGACATGACCTCAGATGACCAGCTGAGGGGGAGGCAACATGGGACAAGGGGGAGTGATCGGAATGGGAGATAGGGACGAAAAGGTTGTGATTTTTTCGGTGCAAAGAGTGCAGGTGGGAGGCAGAGTCACTGGGCTCTGCCACTGACCTGACCTCAAAGGTCCAGCGGAAGGGAAGGGAGGGAAGGTGCCTCATAAGGAACCAGCCCTCACAGGAGAACAAGCAAGCAAACACAAACACTCACGTGAGGATGAATCCGGCCTGGTCGCAGGGCAGCGCCACGTGCACGAGCCCCACAAAGACCCACCCGACACAAGGTTGAGGCACTCACGTGAGGATGAATCCGGCCTGGTCGCAGGGCAGAGCCAGGTGCACGAGCCCCACAAAGACCCACGCGACACAAGGTTGAGAACAAGCAAGCAGAGGCACTCACGTGAGGATGAAGCCTGCCTGGTCGCAGGGCAGCGCCACGTGCACGAGCCCCACGCCAGCAGCCTGCTGCAGCAGGCTTCAATCGCGCCCCCACACTCATGCAGGAAAGCAAGCAAGGACACAAGCAGACCATGGCACTTACGTAAGGATGAAGCCAGCTTGATCACACGGCAGCGCCAGGTGCACGAGCCCCACGCCAGCAGCCTGCTGCAGGCGCTGCATGAGTGCTGCTGCCGGGGGGGAGAGAGACAGCGCCACCGCCCTCCTCGACCCGCCCTCTGTCCACACCGGCTTCAGTCGCGCGCCCACACTCGGCAGCGTCGCTGCTGCTGCCGCCGCCGCCGCCGCTGCTCTCCCTGCTGTTGCCGATTCCGTTGCCCCTGCTGCGCCTGATGCTGACGCTGGTGTGTAACCCCGTGTGACTGCTCCCATGCCTGCCTGCCTGGTGCTCATGCCTCGCTGCCCCTCCTCTTCCCCATCCAAGTCCTCCCCTTCGGCCATCCAGGGCCGGAAACTCGCTTCCACTCCCAGCGGTGTGTCCTCTGTACTACTCGCTCTGATAGTAGACCCAGCCCCAGCACCGGTAGCAGCAGCAGCAGGAGCAGCAGCAGCAGCAGCAGCAATAGCAGTGCTGGCAGTAGCAGTGCTGGCAGTGGCAGGGCGGGTGGTTTCCCCTGTGGGCTTGTTAAGATCCAGGTTGGAGGGAACTCGGAACACTGGGGAGCCACCACCCCCTCCTCCCCTTCCATCCACTCCCCTCCGGCTTCCTGCACTTCCCACTGTTCCTCCCGAACCTCCACCCGCACCACCCGAGCCTATTCCCGGACCTGCGGCTATGGCCGTGCTGCTACCAGACCTCCTCATCCCAGCCGTACCAGCAGCACCGGCTGAACCTACCCCTGCTGCTGCCAGTGCTGCCACTCCTGTGGATGGCACTAAATGGGGGCTAGCACCACCACTAGCAGACGCCCCGGCCGCTGCAGCTGCAGCAGCAGCCATGGCCGAAGCTGACCCTGTGATTCGGGGGCTCCCAGGCACGCTGGAGGGTCGGGAGCTGAAGGGGGACTGGAGAGAGGTGGAAAAATAGAGCCCAGTCGACGCAGCAGCAGCAGCAGCAGCAGCAGCAGCAGCACCCGCAGTGCCACCAGAGGGAGCGTCACAGGGCTCACAGATATGCTCGTCTACTTTAGGGGGCCGGCGCAGGTGGGAGAGCAGACTGCCAGTGCTGCCACCCTCCGTACTGATACTGCTGATGATCCCTGCTAGCCTCGCTGCTGCTGCTGCATGGGTAGACACAGCGCTGCTGTTGCTGCTGCCATACCTGCCGCCGCCGATGGCAGAGCAGCAGAGCCGAGCCGAGTGCTGCCAGGGCCGGCGCGCAACGGACGGCCGGATGGAGTCCACGAGCAGCACGTGCCGACGGTACGGATTGATCGCGTGCAGCGAGCTGCCACTCCCTCCCCGCTTCTGCTCCCCCTGCGGCCCAATCACCTTGGCCAGGGGCGACGCGGGGGCAGACGTCTTGGGAGACCGAGGTGACGCAGGGAGCACAATGGGGGGGTAAACAGGTGGTGCTGCAGGGCTAGAGTAGCCTCTCGGGGTGCCGGGACAGGGGCTGCCAGGCATGCTTCCCGGCCGACTGCCCGGGCGACTCCTATACCCCCCTGCTGCTGCTGCCGCTGCCCCTGCTGCTCCTCCGCCTAACAGTGCTGCTGCGGCGGCCTTATCAGCTTCCTCCTGAGCAACGGAGAGGCGGAGGTACTTGCAGAGCTCTGCCATGTCGCGGTTGACTGCTGTGAGGTACTCGTCCGTTGCGGTTTCAAGCTTCTCCCACTCCGCTGGGTCTGTTTCGTCCAGGTCCATGCCACACCGCTCGTCCACTGGTGTTTAAGGGGGGATTGGAAACCGTTGGGAGGTGTTGGAAGGGGTTGAAGGGTAAATTTTCACTGCCAGGTTGCTTAGTGGTTACGGATTGAAGGGGAGAGGAAGTGGGAGTGGGGGTAGTATCCAGAGGTGAGACATCCGTGATCTGATGTCTGCTTTTGCCTGAGAAACCCTCTCAATTGTTTGCAACCTGCAAGCATCCTCCCTAACCAACTCAAACGAATTCTTAGTATACTAGAACAACTTGATCAATTCAAACGCTAGATCTGCCTGGTCTACCTTTCAAGGCGCCTCAACCTCAAAAGCCCTCTCGCCTCCCCACTAACCTGGGTTAAACCGGTAGTATTTGACATCGGGCAGCATGGGCATGACCACTCAAACGCCAGATCCGCCTGCTCCACCGACATGGCTGCCTCAAGGGCCTGTTAGAGGCACCGCAAAAGCCCTCCCACCTGCATTCAAGCTCTCTCGCCTCACCACTAACCTGGGTTGAAGCGGTAGTATTTGACATCGGGCAGCATGGGCATGACCACTCAAACGCCAGATCCGCCTGCTCCACCTTTATAGCCACCTGAAAGCCGTTTCGAGGCGCCCAGAAAGCCCTTTTGAGGCGACTCTAAAGCACTCTCGCCTCACCATTGACTGACCTGGGTTAAACCGGCAGTATTTAACATCAGGCAGCATCGGCATGACCGACTCAAACGCCAGATCCGCCTGCTCCACCTTCTGAAGGGTCTCAAGAATCCTTCTGAGGCAACTTAGAAACCCTTTTGCCTCCCCACTAACTGACCTGGGTTGAAGCGATAGTATTTGACATCAGGCAGCATGGGCATGACCGACTCAAACGCCAGATCCGCCTGCTCCACCGACGTCGCAGCCTCTGCAAGCACCTGCCCCGTATCTGCCACCCTCCACCCGGGCCTCCCACGCAGCTTCGGCGGCGCCGAGCCGCACCCGAGGCTCACCACGCAGTCCAGCGGCAGGTCCGGCCAGAGCAGCCGAGCCTCTCTAACGGCCACAATCGTGGGGTTATTTGCGAAAATAGCCCCGTCTTGCCAGCGGTGGGGCCCCACGGCGAAATCGTCGAAATAGTACGGAGCTGCGGAGGAGGCTCGGATGGCCTGCCAGAGCTGCATCTTGCACGTGCCTAGCAGCGCAGATAGCCCCGACGTGCGCATGCGCGGGGGCGGCGTGGGCATGGGGGACCCGTCGGCGGGGGGATGGGGAGTTTCCCGAGTTCCTGGGGGATACTGTGGGGGGGATGGGGAAAGAGGGAAGAGGGTAGAAAGAAGAGGTAAGAGGGCGGCGAGGGTAATGGGACAAGGGGGGTGGGCGAAGACGAAGGAACGTCTTAAGTTTCTCACCTGGTAGTTTCGGAAGACGAAGGGCGTGGCGGGTGTGACACTAACGAGGGTGGAGACCACAAAGACCTTGGGCCCGCCCTTGACTGCGGAGTCAATGAGCAGATCCCCATCGTCGTCCGTGCACATCTCCTGTAACAGCTGCTCAAACTGCTCCGCATTGTGCTGCGGGCGGGAGGAACGGGAGAAGAGTGGAGGGGAAGGGGAAAAGGAGGAAGGGGGGGGAGGGGGGGGGGGAATCAGGGACGGCACATTTCCCTGCACTAACTGCTAAAAATGCTCCGCATTGTGTTGCGTCTGGGAGGAAAGATGAGGTGGCGGGAGGGGAGAGAGGGCGTGATGCGCTGTTAGGCAACTACATCTAAATTGATATCCATTTACATTTAAGTGTGCATTTTTGCCTAAGGTCAAACTGGATCAGGAAAAACATACACGATGTTTAGATACTTCACTGAGGATGCTCTTCATGGAGTTATTCCGAAATCAGTTGAGAATCTGCTCAACTAAACTTGAAATAACTCCACAAAAGGCATCCTCAGTGGAATCTCCAAACATCGTGTACGCTTTTCCAGAGCCAATTTGACCGTGACAAAAATGTACACCTGAATGAAAGTGGATATCAATTTAAACATAGATGCCTAGCAGACAGCGCATGAAGGCACACGCTTACCTTATACCCATCAAGTGCACTACTAACAAACTCCTGCAGCAGCTGCTGAGCTGCCCTCTCTGCCCGCATCATCCCCCTAACCTTCACCATGCATACACCGGTCCAGCTTGTCTACCCCCCCCCCCCCCCACACATGGCCCTCGCAGCCCCTAACATGCTCACGCCCTTCACCCCGCACTCACCTTGCTGCCGTGCACCACCACACGGTAGTTCTGAGACGAGCTCTTGTACAGCTGGTCCAGCTTGTCCCGCCACGAAGCCGACTCCATCGCCTCCACATTTGAGAATACCAGCTTGCCTGGTGAGAGGGGAGTGGGGTTGATTAGGGTTCACAAAGGAAGAGTTGAACACGGGGATAGCAATGGGCGTGGTGAAGGGTTGGTATCGGATACAACACAGCTGCTCCAGCCTGTCCCGCCACGACGCCGACTCCATCGCCTCCACGTTCGAAAACACCAGGTTGCCTGGTGGGAGAGAGGGAGGGGGTTGAACACGGAGAGAGCAGGGGTTGGTTGCAACTTGACTTAGCACATCAACAGTCAGCTTGTTCCGCCACGATGCCGACTCCATCGCCTCCATGTTCGAAAACACCAGCTTGCCTGGTGGGAGAGAGGGAGGGGGTTGAATACGGAGAAGGCAAGGGAGGGTCGCAACTTGAATTTTGAGGCGCCCCAAAAGTCCAGCTTGTCCCGCCACGATGCCGACTCCACACGTCATCACACTGGTCGAGTGTGAGGCGCTTGATTCCCAGCTCAGCTGCCAGCATGCCCCCAGTGGACGTGCCACACACCAGGTCAAACAGCTCATGCACGCGCCTGCCCACAAACCACTTCCCTTCCCCCTACAGCCACAGAAACAACAACTCACCCAGGCGCCTGTACACGTCGTCACACTGGTCCAAAGTTAGGCGCTTAATCACAAACTCAGCTGCCAGCATGTCGCCAGTGGACGTGCCGCACACCAGGTCAAACAGCTCGTGCCCAAAACCCACTCTCCACAGCTCTACGAAACGTGCACCCAGAAACCCCTGAAAACAGCTCACCCAGGCGCCTGTACACGTCGTCACACTGGTCCAAAGTTAGGCGCTTAATCCCCAACTCAGCTGCCAGCATGCCGCCAGTGGACGTGCCGCACACCAGGTCAAACAGCTCGTGCCCAGAACCAGTTCCCTAACCCACTCACCCAGTCGCCGATACACATCGTCGCACTGGTCCAAGGTGAGCCGTTTGATCCCCAGCTCAGCTGCCAGCATGCCGCCAGTGGACGTGCCACACACGAGGTCAAACAGCTCATGCACACGCCTTCCCGTGCGCCCCTCTATCTGCCTCAGCATCTGCACCATGGCCATGCCCCGCATGCCCCCCCCGTCCATCACCAGCACTCGCACGCCCCTCTGCCCCACTGCCCTCGTGCACAGCGCCTCCTGCACCAGCCGATTTTCACCTGCAATTCACCGCATTGCACCGCACCACCACAGCACCCCACCGCACAGCACCCCACCGCACAGCACCCCACCGCACAGCACGGCACAAAGCGAGGGGGAAGGGGGTAAAACGGGAGGGAGTTGTTATATAGCTGCGTGGCATCTGCACCATGGCCATGCCTCGCATGCCCCCCCCATCCATCACCAGTACGCACACGCCTCTCTGCCCCACTGCCCTCGTGCATAGCGCCTCCTGCACCAGCCGATTTTCACCTGCAATTCACCGCACCACACCGCACAGCACAGCACATCATAGCACAGTGGAGAGCGAGCAGGAATGGGATAAAAAGAGAGGGAGGTGTTATATAGCTGCGTGGCATCTGCACCATGGCCATGCCTCGCATGCCCCCCCCATCCATCACCAGTACGCGCACGCCTCTCTGCATGCCCTCGTGCACAGCGCCTCCTGCACCAACCGGTTCTCCCCTGCAGTACACATGAACGGGACAGATTGAAGGGAGATATGCTAGCAAACCAGGATGATAAGCCAGCTTACCGGAAATAGCAAGTCAGGTTACCCAATATAGCAAGCCAGCTTACCCAGAATAGCAAGCACCCGTGCTGCCGCCTTGCGGAACGAGAAGACAGTTGGAACCTCCACCACTAACGCCCTGTGCTGGTACCTGCCCACACCCCCTCCGCCCCCCCTCATCCCCCCCCCTTCCGCTCCCAAACCCCCTTCTCCCGCTTCCTCTCCCCCTCCCCCGCCCCCGAAGCCCCCGCCGCCCAGCCCCCCACCCCCTGTGGCAAGGTGATAGAGCCCATCCAGGAAGCCTGGTTGGGCCACCAGCAGGCGGCGGTTGTCCGGGCAGAATGACAAGTTACCCACCGCCATTAGGGCTTGAGTTTGCACCTGGGAGAAGGAGGAGGGAGGGACGGGAGAGAGGGACGGGAAGGAGAGGCGAGAGAGATGGACGAGAGGGAGAGGGAGGTTGTTAGAACGGAAAGGATGCAGGGTGAGGTGGTGATGGGAAGGGTGAGGGAGGGTTTGGGGAGGGGATAGTGGGGATGGATGGTACCCTGCATGCTGCACATACGCCATAGTACCACCCCCCCGTCCCCCCCTCCCCCCCCCACCCCGTCCCCCCACACCCACACATACATACCATCATGTGAGTGTGGTGGCAGAGGCTGGTGAGAATGGCGGCAGAGTCCACGTTCAAAATTCGCGCAGCAACGGAGTCAGAGGCGAGGGCGAGGTTGGCAATGACGCGCAGCACGGACACGAGGATCTCCGGCTGCTGGGAGAGCAGCACACCACCACACGCCATGCCCCACCCGTACCAGCCATCCTTCATGCCACGTGGCGTACACCCCACATACCCCACATACACATACACCATAGTACCACCCAACCCCTACCCCAAGACCAGACACGTACCATCATGTGCGTGTGGTGACACAGACTGGTAAGGATAGCAGCAGAATCCACATTGAGAATGCGCGCAGCGACGGAATCTGAGGCGAGGGCGAGGTTGGCAATGACTCGCAGCACTGACACGAGGATCTCCGGCTGCTGGGAGAGCAGCAGCGAGCAGATGGCTGCCAGCACGTCTGATTTGACCAGGTGGGTCACCAGTGCGTCATCCATTGCCAGGGAGGAGAGGGCGTGGCATGCTTGCTCCACCTGATGTGTGTGGAGGGGTGGCGGTTGGGGAGAGGGGGAAGGGGAAGGGGGGTTTGGGGGTGGTTTTGAAGCGTATCAAAGAGCAGCAGCGAGCAGATGGCTGCCAGCACGTCGGATTTCACCAGGTGGGTCACCAGTGCGTCGTCCATTGCGAGGGATGATAACACATGGCACGCCTGCTCCACCTGATGTGGGTGATGGGAGAGGAAGAGGAGGAAGGGGGGGGGGTTGAGAGACGCCTTAAAGAGCAGCAGCGAGCAGATTTCACTCAAACCCCACAACCCATGCCCCACACACCCCATGCCCCACACATCCCATGCGCCACAGCCCCTTCTAGCTCACCACGTGCTTGGAGTCAGCCAGCAGCATGCTCACGATCTGCCTGATCGCGCTCTCATCCTCGCTGAACGCCGCTCTGCTCTTCAATCCATTCCCGCTCAACCCCCACACCCCATGCCCCACACACCCCATGCGCCACAGCCCATGCCCAGCCAAGCCATCCTCCCACGCCACACTCATAACCTCCTCCCACACAGCCCCTTCTAACTCACCACGTGCTTGGAGTCCGCCAGCAGCATGCTCACGATCTGCCTGATCGCGCTCTCATCCTTGCCAATGGCTGCGCGGTTCTCGCGATCCTCACAGATGCGCGCCAGGGCGGACGCCAGCAGCGGGTGGTGCACGGACGAGTACCGGAAGATGAGGGCGAAGAAGTCGCTCAGACAGTGCTTGGACGCAGAGAAGTAAGAGCCTTGCTGCGCCTCCAGTTGCTGAAAACATACATGGGGTTAAGGGGGGGGGGGGGGTGGTGGAGAGGGAGAGCGAGTGGGTGGTGCACGGAGGAGTAGCGGAAGGTGAGCGCGAAGAAATCGCTCAGGCAGTGCTTGGATGCAGAGCAGTAGGAGCCTTGCTGCGCCTCCAGTTGCTGAAGATGCGTGAGAGGGGAGGGGGGAGGGACGGGCGGGAGAGAAGAGAACGAGGAATGGGTGAGTGGCCGAGTATGAGGGCAAACGTGTTGCTCAAACGCTTTTAAACGCGACAGTCTGTGCAATGATGGAGTCACCACGATGCTGACATCAACGATCTTGAGGTCGGGATCGCTGACAATGCGCATGTTGGTCAGGGAGAACATGCGCAGGTGAGAAAGCAGGAGCCCTGCAAGTCAACCTCCTGCACTCACCACGATGCTAACATCCACGATCTTGAGGTCGGGATCGCTGACGATGCGCACGTTGGCCAGGGAGAACATGCGCAGATGGAAAAGCAGGAGCCCTGCAAGTCACACTCCCTGCAACCATGCACTCAAGCGTCCACAGACTCACCACGATGCTGACATCAACGATCTTGAGGTCAGGGTCGCTGATGATGCGCACGTTGGCCAGGGAGAGCATGCGCAGGTGGCGGCAGGGGAGGATCTCCGGGAAGAACTCGAGGGGGTTGTTGAACAGCCGTAGCACCCTCAGGTCCGCCAGGCATCTGCAGCGAGGGGGGGGGGCAGGGGAGGGATAGGCGATGGTGTGGGATGGTGGCACGAGCACGGCAGGATCTCAGGGAAGCACTCGAGGGGGTTGTTGAACAGCCGCAACACCCTCAGATCCGCCAAGCACCTGTGCGGGGGGGAGAGGAGGAGGGGTAGGCGGTGTGTGAGTGTGGGGGGATTGGAGGGTGGTGTTATGGAAAGAGAATGGAGTGATGATGGTGGCGGCAGGGGAGGATCTCCGGGAAGAACTTGAGCGGGTTGTGGAACAGCCGCAGCACCCTCAGGTCCACCAGGCATCTGCAGCGAGGGGGGGGGGCAGGGGAGGGATAGGCGATGGTGTGGGATGGCGGCACGAGCACGGCAGGATCTCAGGGAAGCACTCAAGCGGGTTGTGGAACAGCCGCAGCACCCTCAGGTCCGCCAGGCACCTGCAAGGGGGTGGATTGAGTTGTCAAGTGGAAGGGGGTGTCTTGATTAGGGGATGGAACAACAGTGCAAGGAGCAGTGGTGAGAAGGTGGCAAAGGGGTAGCGGAAGAGTGGAAGGCGGGAAGGAGTGAAGTGAAAGGCACGTAGCAGACGCACCTGAAGTCGAGGAGGGGACGCACAAGGCGGTTGTTCTCGAGGGACAGCTCCCTCAGGTTGGTGCACTCTCGCAGTGTGACTGTCACGGGGAGGGATGGTTTAGGACAGGAGAAAGAGGGCAGGGGAGAGGAACAAGAGGGTGTGCGTGAAATTAACGATTGGAGCACGTCACATGCTTTAGTCAATGCATGCAAGGTCCCCAGGACCAGGCACAGGGCCCAGGACTAGGCACCGAGGAGCACGGTCCAGATAAGTCCACGCGCGCACTTGGCATGGCAAGGAAAGGATGGTGCACGCTCTTACTAGACAACTCCCACTGCACAGAGGGCTCAAAAGTCGATTCTGAGACACCTCATAAGGCATTAAAACTTTGCTGTGCGTGATGAGATGGTTGTTTTGAAACGTCTCAAAACCAATTTATTATCACATAGAAATTCTGTTGTGCGTAACTCTCGGGGAACAGTGAGACGACCAAGGAGGCTACAAGGAGGAGAATCTCCGAAGTTCAAACTCAACTGAGGGAGAAAGAGATGAAGCTGATGCGGGAAAATGACGTCTAAATCTCCTTATCCCGCATCAGCTTCATCTCTTTCTCCCTCAGCTGAGTTTGCACGTCGGAGATTCTCTTTCTCGTAGCCTCCTTGGCCGTCTCAAACAGAACTTGGTATATAGAATAGAGGACATCCAGCACCCTTAGATGCTGCAGCTGCCTCCTCTTTAAGGTGCATGAGAGAGACTCACTGGGGACAAACCTCGAAACTATACTGTGGGCGTGACTCACTGGGCACGGAGGTGAGCAGGTTGTTATCAGCGCGCAGCACCCTCAACTGCTGCAGCTAAACCCCCTCTTTCAGGTGCCTTGAAAAACACTCACTCAACACAGAGGCCTCATATCAATACTGTACGTGACTCACCAGGCAGAGGCCTTGAAACCATATTGTGCGTGACTCACTGGGCAAGGTGGTGAGCAGGTTGTTATCAGCACGCAGCACACACATCTGCTACAGCTGCCCCCTCTATAAGGTGGATTAAGAATCGCTCACCGGGCACACATGCCGCATATCATATCGATACTGAGCGTGACTCACTGGGCACGGTGGTGAGCTGGTTGTTGTCAGCTAGCAACACCCTCAGCTGCTACAGCTGCCCCCTCTTTATGGTGCATTACGAGAGACGCACTGGGCACACAGAAGCCGCCAAGTGTGCGTGACTCACTGGGCACGGTGGTGAGCTGGTTGTTATCAGCGCGCAGCACCCTCAGCTGCTGCAGCTGCCCGATCTCCCCCGGCAGCGCGCTCAGGCGGTTGTTCTCCACCTCCAGTACCTCCAGCAGGGGCAGATTCATGGTGAAGTTGGGGAGCACCTGGAGTGGGTAGGAAGAAGGAGGGCTACTGAGGAAAAAACAGTGGCGCTAGGGACTTGCTCTCCGCATCCGGCCTCCAGCAGCGGTAGATTCATGGTGAGGTTGGAAAGGACCTTGGGTCAGGAAGAAAGAAGAAGAGAGGGGGGACCAAGAAGGACCACAAGGTTCGAGAGGGGTGGATGTGCTTATAAGTGGGGCAAAGGAAGTATGACAGAGGTTGATGTGCTTACAGAGAGGGAGCAGGAGGAGAGGGAGAGGGCCTTCAACGAGCGCCAGTGGTCGGAGTAACCCAACATGCTCTCCGCTGCTGCTGTTGTCAACACCTGTTGCTGCTGCTGCTTCTGCTGCTGCTCTGGTGAAGCAGATACTGCCTGCGACTGCTGCTGTTGCTGCTGCTGCTGATGTCCCCCTGCTGACGTGCCTCCTTTCTCGCCTCCATCTCCCGATCCTGACTTCACCAGAGCCCCACCACTCCCTGCACTCCCGCCCGACCCTGAACCGCCACCCGAACCAACAAAACCCCCTCCTGCACCTGAAATTCCACCTGAAGGCCCTGTGGGAATCGCGCTGGCAGCAGCAGCAGCGACGTCAGCCCTATGGAGGGCCACGCCCTTGGCGTCGAGCAGCTTCGCCAGCATGGACAGCCCGTCGCTGCCTGAATAGGACGAGCTGCTGCTGGCTGCTACTCGCGTCAGTCGCAGCACGTGCAGCGGCTCCCGCTGCTTGTGTACTTTCAAGTTCATCCGGACCGTCCACTTTCCAGGATCCTGCAATCTCAGCCGTTCGTCTCCTGATTCATTTGATGCTTCGTCTGGTGCTGCTTCGGGTGCTGATGCTGCCTTGCTGTCCTGATTCTCTTCGCCACGTGGCTCCACGTGCATGCCTACTACCACGTGGTCATGAGGGGGAGGTAGGGTTACCATCACGAGCGACTGTAACCGTAACGCCACCTGCTCCTCGTCGTCGCCAGCGGACCAGTCGATCTGGATGCGAAACCTGCACTGTCGCTCCGCGCTCACCATTGGTTCGCGAATCTTGCTCAGTAACGCTCTCGCCACCGCGCCAGGCCCACCCTCGCCGTCCGATTCATCCCCAGCGTCAGATGCGGCGGACGACGTGGTGCCATCTAAACCGTTCGTGTCAACGGGGAGATCTTTCTCTCGCTGCTTCTCCTTCTCTCCGTAGCCTAACTCGAGCTGAAATTTGTCCGTCTCCCGCTTCCATCCCCCCATCCACGACATCTTGAACCGCTTGTAAGCACCTGTCGCTCCTTCGAAGCTTTTATCTCGTAAAATCCCTTGGGATTGCCGCGAATCCCCTAAATGACTTCGAGATTTGCAAGATCGTTGAGATTTTCGTGATCTTCCGGCTTCGTGGGCTTCTAGTTTTCCTGATGCCCCTGCGATTCCAGGCGACGCGGGATAAGATGCGTTCGGATAAGCACGCGTGGCGCTTGCGTTGGGAGATTCAGCGACGCGCGAAGATCGCTTCAAGGATGTCGAACCAGGAACGGGACGCGACTGCGGTTGAAGCTGCAGGAATGGCGATTGAAACTGAAAAGACGGCGATTGAAACTGGAAAGACGGCGATCGAAGCGATGCCGACGGACCCTGGAGAGACGATGGCTGACCAAGATGATCTGACTGCTGCTGCTCTTTCGCCTTGGAGGCGATTCCGAGTTTGCGGGAGAGAATCGAGGAGCCGGATCTGAACAGACTCGATGCGGACTCTTGGATCAGTCGCGACGTGCAGACTGAGACGCTCCCACGCTCTGGATCGGGAATACGGGGCGAACTAATCCGTCTACGCTTGGAGTCTCGTGATTCGTCAGAAAGATATACCTTATTAGGACAGCGAACGGACATTAGTCTCAGAGAAATCCGTCCTTATTAAATCCATCGCCATTACATCCTCATCATACGGTCGTCATAAGAAACTCTAGATCACAAAAAGAAGATGAGCGTCGGGAGTTTTTTTTGTGCAAAACGGCGCACGCGGTGCGCGATGTGGTATAATGGTGATCTCTCGGTCTCTCTGCTCGGTTTCCTTCAGAGCTGGCGGGCTTTGTGCCGAGCTTGCTCTGCGCTGCACCATGGCCATGCGCGTGCTTTCAGGCTTGCAGCCGCAGCATTATCAATGGCCCGCTTGACTTGGTTCAGCTGCCTGTTTCCAGATGGTTCATGTTTTCTCCTCAAAAAACCTCGCAACCGCGAGATATCTCTCTGGAACGATTTGTTTCACCCAGATCAAATTCTGTCGTCAGCGGCACCACCAGCCGGCTTGTAGCGCGCGGCATTTCGCTGGGGAGGAGGCTGTCAGGGTGGTTACACTCGTGTTACCACATCCACAAGGGTGGCTGCCATGCTGTTCACCAGCAAGGCAATTTCAAGGGTGTCACACATCGAGATTATAGCGAGGCGGCTGTTACCAGCTGCACAAGCCATTCGCCGTGTCGAGCATGCCACGTGCTATGAAGCAGGTGGCTAAAATTTTGAATGATCCACAATGATGTAAAAGAGCCCATAAAACACTTCATTTCAAAACACGAAAGTTCTAGGATTGCGGATTACTCGCTCCCCGTGTGTTCGTTGAGCCGAGAGAAGGTTAGCATCTCCCTCGACAAGGACGAGATCAGCCTTCGGGCTCTCAACACACAACGGTTAAGGCACCCCGCGCGAGCGGGCATAACCATATTTTTTGTTGCTTTTAGAGAGTCTCTTACTTGCTTTTGCGCGAAATCCGAGGTAACGCTCGCACTGTCGCCCCCTCTCTGTCTGCCTGGTTCTTTCGGCGCTTACCACAGCGACCCAGGACTTCTAGACGTTAGCCGCCTAACCGACCGCATTCCACGGCTAAACTTGAACTTTCTCACGTGGACCGTTGGGGTTTTTGAAGCGCCTGAAAAGTCGTGTCAGTGGGACCACTGCGGCGGGTTAGGAAGACTAGTCGTTGCAAGCGGCGAGGCGTAAACGACTGTGCGCGGAAACAGGCTGTGAGGGAAGGGCCCAGAGGGGAAAGCGAGAGTTGTAGAGGAATACAAAGGAGTGAAAGGGAGTGAGGAGGAGTGGTGGACGATAAGCGGGGGAGGGAGGGCGGAGATGTCGACGAGAAGGGGAGCGCCATCCCGAGGCGCGCCCAAGCACCAGAACAAGTGAGCCTCTGCGAAACGTGCGAAACCCTACGCCCAACCGTCCCGTGTGCGTGTGCCCCGTAGAACCCGCCTACTCGCTCCAAGGCAGTGTTTACTTTATTTTCTTCTTCTTTTTGAGAGATGCTGTTGTGATGCTGTGAACCCAGTACCCGCAACAGCGTTTTCTGTGTGTCCGTCCGTCCGACGGCATTGCGTGGCCTACCATCCTGCCAGCCGGCCAGCCTGCCAGGGCAGCGTGGGACTGCCAGACCCAGAACATTGGTTAAACCCTTGAAGGCTACCAGTCCCCGTCCTGTGCCTTTGCCGTGGCGTGCCAGGGTAGCATGGATTGCTGAACCCAGAACCCCGGTTAAACCCTCAAGTCTGTGTGTGTGCGTGCGTGTGTGTGTGTGTGTGTGTGTGTGTGTGTGTGTGTGTGTGTGTGTGTGTGTGTGTGTGTGTGCTGTTGTGGCTGTGTGCACCTCTTTCCACCCCGACGGCATGGCAGGGTAGCGTGGGTTCCAGAGCGCAACGTGCAGAAGAAAGAAACGGTGAGGCGAGGGGGTGGTGGGGAGAGAAAGGGAGGAGATGAGGGGATTTTTTATTTGATTCTCAAGAAGGAAGAAAGGAGGATTGAGAAAGCGCGTAGGAGGGAGCAGTGTGGGGACGGGAGGGAGAGGGCAGTGTGGGTTTCGGAGCATAATGTCCACAGGGGGCATGGGAACGGGGGAGGGAGCATGGGGCACGAGGCATGGGGCGTGGGGCATGGGGCATGGGGCATGGGCCATGGGGCATGGGGCATGGGCCATGGGGCATGGGCCATGGGGCATGGGGCATGGGGCATGGGGCATGGGCCATGGGGCATGGGGCATGGGGCATGGGGCATGGGCCATGGGGCATGGGGCATGGGGCATGGGGCATGGGCCATGGGGCATGGGGCATGGGGCATGGGGCATGGGCCATGGGGCATGGGGCATGGGGCATGGGGCATGGGCCATGGGGCACGAGGCATGGGGCGTGGGGCATGGGGCATGGGGCATGGGGCATGGGGCACGACCATCCTCCTTCCTCCCCCACTCCTTCCCTCCTCTTTCCCCCTCCCTAATTCCCTTCCACCCTCCATTTCCCCCTCAGGAGCTGGGCACGAAGTCCAGGCCATTCGACTACATCCCGTCCTGCATTCCTCGCTACCCCCTCCTAACACCCTTCTACCCCTTCTTTGGCTTCTCCCCCCTTCCCCTCCCCCTTCCCCCCCAGGAGCTGGGCACCAAGTCGAGGCCATTCGCCAACATCGCAGGAGTGTGCCGGCGCTGCAGCGAGCAGATCGCATGGCGCCGCAAGTGAGTGCTGCGTGCTGTACATGCTGTGAGGGGCTGAGTTGGGGCAAGGCAGGAGGGCATGTGTCTTCGAGTGAGTGCTAGGAGGGGCTGAGTGGGCACAGGAGGGCTGGAGGGAAGCAGGGCCTGGGCCTTGAGTGAGTGCCGGGAGGGTATGAGTGGGCGCAGGAGGGCATGTGTCTTCGAGTGAGTGCTAGGAGGGGCTGAGTGGGCACAGGAGGGCTTGTTTGTGGGCTGGTCGGGCTGACGTAGAGGGATGCGGGAGTGGGAGTGGTGGGGGATGGGGAGTGGGAGTGGTGGGACATTGCATGGGAGAGGGGAGAGGGGAAAGAGGAGAGACGAGAGAGGTGGACGAGTCTTAGTAGCGGAAACGGATGCTACGAGACTCGTCTGTGTCAATCATGTCACTCTGCACTGCGCCTGATTGACACGTCTCCATCTGCTGTATTCCCTGCTGACTTTGAGTCGACTCAAAAGTCACCTCGGAAACGGATGCTACACACTCTGCATTTGATTGACACGTCTCCATCTGCTGTATTCCCTGCTGACCAACCCCAGCACATTCCTCCTACGTCTCCCTCCCCCTATTCCCCAATTCCCCTCTTCCCTCCCTGCCCCTCCTTTCTGTCCCAGCGTGCCTCAGCTTCCTCTTTCACCCTCTCGCTTCCACCACCACACACACCACTTTTTTTAGGCGCCTTAAAAATCGTCTCAGTTCACGTGGTTTGTAAATTGGGAACATTTTCAAAACTCTGTCTCTGGTCTCTCGCCAACATTTGGTCCCTCACCAATTTTTCTCAGCTTCCTGTTTCACCTCCACGCCTCCCCCACGCACACCACTCACCCAGCCCTCGCTCTCTCCCTCCACCATCCCCCCCACACCCCATTCTCATCGTCCTTGTCCTCCCCTCCCCACTCCTGGGCGCAGGTACGGCAAGTACAAGCCTCTGACCGAGCCTGCCAAATGGTGAGATGCGGAGGCAGCAGCAGAAGTTGGGGCGTGGGTCATTACGAGTTGTGAGGCCTGGGGTGGCTGGTTGACTTGTGAGGTCAACACAGCGATATGATGATTGTTGGGTTTAGTCGATTCGAATAGTCTCCTACACGAGCTGACTTTTGAGTCGACTCATAAGCTACCGTTTCCCTCATTCCTCTCCCATGATTGTTCCTTCCCCTCGCACTCGCTCATCCATTCACCTCTGCTTCCCTTCCTCACCCCTTCCTTACCCCTTCCTCTCCTGTTCTTTTCCACTTGCGCTATCCCTGAAAGTGCCTGTAACTCGCTCTCGCCTTTCATCCAGCCTTCCTCTTTCCGTTCTCTCCCTTGCCCAACCAACCTCTCCTGGGTCCACCAATCACAGCGGAGCATGTGGCAAGAGGAGTGTGAAAGACGCATACCATGCCATCTGCAAAGGTGCGAGTGAAAGGCATGCCAACTTGCTACCTGCCATGCGATAGTGCCAAGATGGGCCATGCCATTCCATGATGGAATTTCTATCCATATATTCCTTCCTTCCTCACCTCATCTCAGCTAAAAAATGTGCCCGAGAGTCAGAAACTTTTGCCTGAGCTTACGCCTATTCTCCCCCCCTGATTTCGCCCCATCCATGCATGCATGCATGCATTGCATGTGTACCCAAATGCCCCGCCCTCATCCCATGGACTGGCACTCCGGTCGTCCATGCATGCATGCATGCACACAGCATGTGCGAAGGAGAAAGGGTTGTGCGCCAAGTGCCGGCAGCCCACCAAAGAGATTGTGCAAGAGTGAGACTCCTGCTTGCACTCCCAACCCCGTCTGCTCTGCCCTCGCACTGTTTGTCTTCGTGTTTTTCGCCGAACAGTTTTTGCAAGAATCCCTCTTCTTGCCCTCCTAATCCCCCCCCTCTCTTCTTCCCTCGACTTTGTGTGAGGTTGATTTTGAGAATTCTCAAAATCAACCTCAAGCAAAAATCCCTCTTCTTGCCCTCCTAATCCCCCCCCTCTCTTCTTCCCTCCACTTGCTAAACCCCTGCTTTTACCATCGCTTCCTGTTATTGTTTTCCACTCCCATTCCCACCCATGATCTTATCCCTTATGTCTACTCCTCTCTCCACGCCTGCACCGCTCTGCACACCCACCCACCCATGCATGCAACAGTGGAGCAGCAGTGCGGGAGAATGAGATGAAGCAACTAGAGGAGGTGAGGGGGGCGATGTACAGGGTATACCTGGGTGACAAACAAACCACTGTTTGTACTTATCTATATTCACACTTGTCCTGCAAAACAAAAATTGGGTCAATCAACCTCTTCTTGTTCACACACTCTCCGTCCATCAATAAATATTTCTATAAACCTCAACAAACCTACTTTCTGCGTCGCCACTGCTCTGTTGTCAAATGTTATCTTAGCTTGTTAGGCTACAGTGAGTAACATTTGACAGTCTGCAGGCTCTTGACAGGCTGAGGCGAAAATTTAGTCGACTCAAAGCCCCATCCCTTAACTGCTCTCCCCTCCCTGCCTCGTCACTGCTCTGTGCTGCAGGCTCTTGGGAGGCTGAGGGAGAGGGAGAGGCGAAGCCTTTTGCGTGCGGTATGTACCCAGGTGCTCAGGTGCACAGATGCTCAGGTGCTCAGGTGCCCAGGTGCCCACGTGCTCAAATGCCCAGGTGCTCAAATGCCCAGGTGCTCAAATGCCCAGGTGCTCAAATGCCCAGGTGCTCAGGTGCCCACGTGCTCAAATGCCCAGGTGCTCAGGTGCCCAAGTGTCCAGGTGTCTCCATTTGCTCAGGTGTGCTTGATTTCTGAGGTGCCTAGGAGCTCTTCCCCCTAGTCCATGCTCTAGAACTTTGAAGGGCTCAAGCTTTGTGACCATCGTTTCGGTTGTCCTTCAATGCTGGTGCGCAAAGGAATGGACGCCCAACACATGACTGCTGGTTGTGTTTGTGCTGCCTCTGGTTCTGTTTGTGGTTGCAGATAGAGAAGGGCAATGCAGGGGCGGCAAACAGCGTGCCAACGTATTGAGACGTCTCGAAACTGCCTTTCAATTTCCTGCCCCTGGTTCTAATGCCTTTGGTTCTGCTGCTACTGGTTCTGTTTGTGCTACCTCTGGTTCTGTTCGTGGTGGCAGATGGAGAAGGGCAATGCAGGGGCGGCGAACAGCGTGGCAAAGAAAGCAGCGAAGAAAGCAGCAAAGGGAGACGATAGTGAGGAGGATGAGGATGATGATGAGGAAGATGAGTGGGAGGAGGATGAGGGGGAGGATGAGGGAGAGAAGGATGAGAACGAGGGGGAGAAGGATGAGGAGGGAGAGGAGGATGGGGAGGATGGGGATGGGGATGGGGGCGAGGCAGGGGAGGGGAAGGAGGATGAAGCAGATGATAGCAAGGGTGGAAGCAAAGGTGGTGGAACAGCGGACGGTACCGAGACTAAGAAGGATGACTACACATGAGCTGATTCTTCAGACTAATAAGATGTCGATGGAACAGCATATGGTGGTGCTGATACTGTAGGAACGATGCCATGACAAGGATACGAGTTTGCGACAGAGGGTTGATGCTGATGAAGAGAGAGTCCCATGCAATGCAAGGAGCCGATTATTGTGCATGTACACTGTAATTGAATATTCTGAAATCATAGCTAATAGGTAACTGACCAATCTATTGACTGGTATTTGGAATGGTACTACACATGGATTTTCTTCCAAGTTCCACCACACCACAAATGGATTTTCTATTAGCAAGTTTCATATGTACCACTATACAGTCACCACCATGGCATGCACTGTTCCCTTCAGCACTAACCACCTGCCACGGTCACTCAACAAACATTCTCAAGACTATCGGACGGCTAGCCACCCACACCCATCTCCTTCCCCCCCACCACACGCCCCATCCTGAGAGGTGTGGCGCATCACATGAAGCTATCATTCAGCACTGAACCATCTGCCATGGTCGCTCAACAATCATCTCAGAATGGTCACTCAAGAGTAATCACTGAGGACTGGGCTGGACGACCAGCCAAACCCGTCTCCTCCTCCCCCATGCCACGCTCCTTCCCCATTTTCTCCCCTTCCTTCTTCCCCTCCTCCCCTTCCCCTCCCCCGATAACCACAGACGGCACACCCCCCGTCTCCTCCCCACCCTTCCCCATCCCCATACTCTCCAGCTCAGCAGCCCTCATTTCAGTCACCCACCCCTTCCCACTCTCCATCCACCAGTCCGCCGCCCGGTCCTTCCCCGTCGCCGCCCACTCCTTGTCCACTAGCGCCGCCCGCTGCTCCCGCTTCTCCCCCGTCTCTATCCCCAAAGAAGCATCCCTCTGCTCCACCAGAGCACGGGGAACGCGCCCCAAGGGGTGGTCTTGGGGGGAAAGCATGAGGGCGGGGGGGCCGAGGGGGAGGGGGTCTCCTCGGTCGAATTGCCATGTGTTCCAGAACTTGCCGTACGTCTTCACGAGTTTCTTCAGCTCCTGCTGCTGCATGGTCTCTGGCACCCCGGGGTTCACCCACAGGCCCTCACATATCTGCAGGGGAGACAAGAAGGGGCATGTCATTAGGTATTGATTGCACCCACAGACGAATCTTGCCATCAACTTCACGAGTTTCTTCAGCTCCTGCTGCAGCATTGTCTATGGCACTCCGGGGTTCACCCACAAGCACTCACAAATCTGCTCGTTGGGATGAGGTGGATGCGAGCACACGGCAGAGGGGTGGGTAGAACGCAGTGCAGAGGGCATGTGAGCGGATATGTGAGATGTTAGTACAACCAGTGAGCGGACAGAGGCATGTGAGAATGACAATACAAGAGATTGAGCAACAGGACGAACCAGAACCAGCCGTGGCTCCCGTGTTGTGCAACAGTGGAGAACATGCGTGCATGCGTGCGTGCTTGCCTCATAGTAGTGCGAGTGCCACAGGTGCTTCTCCTCCTCTGGAAGCTTCTCAAACACCGCCTCCGATACGACGTACTCCACGCCTGGGGGGGTATGGATTGGAGCGACACACACAGAGAAGAGGAGGGGAGAGGAGAGGATATGATAGGATATGATAGGAGAGGAGAGGAGGGGATTGGAGGGGAGGCGAGGGGAGGGGATTGGAGAGGAGAGCAGAGAGGAGAGAGGCGAGGAGAGGAGAGAGGAGAGGAGACGAGACGAGTGGAGAGGAGACGAGACGAGAGGAGAGGAGAGGAGAGGAGTGACTACACGAGGAAAAAAAGGATAAATATCAGATAACTAAAACTTACCAACGATGCGCGCGTTGGGTTGATCACTGTCGAAGACGATGCACTGAAGAACGTCCTCGGTTAGGCGAGCCACCAGGTGGTGCGTCTCAATCATGCGCCCAGGGCTCTGCGCGTAGTGCGCCCACGTGCTCACGTGCTGGCAAAAGGACTTTAGCGAGCGGAAGGACTGGAGGAGAGAGGCGGTCGTTTCCAGGAAGGGGCTTCTCCTGGCACCTGTAGGGGGGGAAAGGAGAATCGTAGAGAGAAAAGAGAGAGTGGCAAAGTGGGAAAGGGAGAGGCGCAGTGAGTACTCACGTGATGACAGGAATAGAGCGGCTGCGAGGACTGCAGCAGCGTGGGTGTGATCACGCGCGCGCGAGTCCCCATGGAGGGCGCGTCGCCCAGCAAGGGGGGAGAGTGTGCGGAGGGGGAAGGGCAAAGGGGGAGAGTGTTGGGGGGTGAGCGGGAGCACGGCTGGCGGAGAGGATGGGGAGTGAAAGGGGTGCGCAACGGGGGGCAGGCAGAGTTGCGGTCGCGCCTACCTCTTCAGGGCGGGACGGGGAGGGCGACTTCTCGGGCGCGCGAGTGCTGGTCGCCATGCTGACCTATGCTACTGGACTCGTAACTGCACGTGCTCCGTTCGGAGAGTGGCTGACTGCTTAGCTCGTAGTACTAGGTGAAATCACGAGGTGAAAGAAACGCAACAACCGCGTCACCGCGATGCTGGAAGGCTGTACTTTGTCTAGGCCGAATGATAAACTCGGCGCAGGGTGGGAAAGGCCTGAGATGGTTTTGGAAGGACAGCCAAACACGCTTAGCCAGAGAGCCTGAGGACACTCGAAAGGGAATAGGGAATAAGAGGACCAGCTTTTCGGGCGCTCATGGGGCCTGCGCGCGATTCTGCTGGAGGAATCTCCTGCGAGTTCGTGCCGCATCTCATGCAGCCCCGACGCCTCCCTCGCGTTTGATTTCATCAGGAGCGATGTTCGGCGAGTGGACGCGGCGCGATGTACCCGCTCGCGACGTCGCATTTGACTGATGCGCAAGAAATACTGCAGTGTCCTTCAGCCTCGTGGGACTCATCCACGAATGCACAGGCCAGCTATGGGGGTGCCCAACTCGGTGACACGTGGTCCAGACTTTCATGGGCCCGTACTCATTATACCGACCTCGGTAGAATTCAAGCTGGACGTGAAAGCGCTGCTCAGAAACGACCAAATTGCACAAGTTTTAAAAGGTTGACGAGGAGGTAGTTCAGTTTTTAGGCTGTGGCGAGAGGATCAATTTCGTGAAATTCGTTTTTTTTCGCAACACACAGCCAAACCTCGCCTTTCCCCTGGTGGGAGCTCGAAAGTCCCTAATTGCAGCTGCACTTTTTTCAAGTTTGCAAGCTGCTCAGCATCAAGTTTTAAAAACTTGACCCGCGCGGCTTGCAATTTGGGACTCGGGCTTTAAAGCTATGTGAAATGTTCGCTGCTCTCTCCTCCCGCCTGGAGAGATTCTGTCGTTATCTCTTTTCGCATTCAGCTGTGGTCCCCCTTCGCCACGCGCTCGCCTAACCATGCACCGCCACGTGCAAGTATCTGTTAGAAACTGAATTGTGTGTTCATTGATGTGGGTTGGGGTATATATAGCAAACCCTAATATTTGTACCCCCTAAGACAAGCCTCACTACAGGCTACAACATTTGACACACCCCCATAGCCTAAGTGAGGGGTGTCAAGCAAAGACAAAAGAGTATGGTCACAATACCAGTCACAAACAAACAAAGCTCAGGGTGGATCACAACGTCACCACACATTCCGAGCGCAACCAAAGGGCCACAAGGCCAGTTCAAGAGTTCACAGGTATATAAGTAATGAGTACAAGACAACAAGCAACCGCTAGGCAAGACGGGAACCAGAGTCAACGAGACCTAACTGCACACAACACCTGTGGTGGTCACAAGGCAGAAGCGCCTTGGTGAAGATGTCGGTAGTGTTGGCCTCGGACTCCACAAAGTCCAAGCGAGCCTGTCCACGCCTCTGCAACTCTCGCAGAAGAAAGTACCTGACGTTGATGTGCTTCACTCTGCTCTCCAGTCGAGGCTCTCGACAGAGAAGAATCGCCGCCTTGTTGTCAGTGAACAAGGTCGGTGCAGAGCTCGGCCGCTCACCAAGGTCGGTGAGCAAGAAGGTCAACCAACGCAGCTCCTGTGCAGCCATGGCTTCAGCGTAGATCTCAGCCTCAGCGGTAGAGGTCGAGACCGAGGAGAAGCGCGTGGACCTCCACGAAACAGCTCCAGAGCCCAGGCTGAAACAGAAACCCTGAGTAGACCTGTGGGTTGTTGGTGCAACCCTACGGTTTGCACTCGGCTTGTTGTCCGTGTGCGTGAATGTGTGTGTGTATGGAATGGTATGAGGGCATGGGATAATATATATTTCATGCTTATAATTGTGTGTGAATGTTGAGTCATGATGTCGAGTGTGTGTGTCGAGTCAATAGCGAGTTATCGCTAGACGCGTGTTACGCGGTCGTTTGTGTCTCGCGCGCGGTTTCTATTTTGTCGTGCGCGGTTTCTATTTTGTCCTGTGTCGAACGTTCGGCGTGTCGCAGGTGTGTGCAGCAGACCCATCAAGAACTCAAGGATGAGTTTGTGATGAAGAGCCCGAGCCTTGGTGTCAAGCCTCAAGTGATTTCGAAGCTCGCCAAAAGGGTACACCTCAAGATATTGAAGATAGTTACATTACTTTGTGTAGTGTAACATTTCACTTGGTGTAGGCCCTAGTGAAGGGTAGTTTCGAGACCCTTCGTGGTTGGGGACAGTGTGGCACTGTTCCACATCACTGTACCTCGGCTCTTGGGGTTTGTAGGAGCTGGGAGTCATTCCCAACTCGTAACTCTTCCTATCTTGTGTTCTAAGACTATAGTGGTTGCCATAGTGCCGTTCGTTCAAACTGACGTTGTGTCGTCAATACTTGGTGAAATTGTGCGATCTAAATTTCCTATTGTAGGCGACAATAAGACGCTCCAGATCCAAGTTGAATCAAGTCATTTGAAGCTGTGACCAGAACGCTATGAACGTTTGAAGCCGTTGTGCAGAAATCCGGCTGTGCACTCTATCTTTCGTTTTAGGCACATTGGAGCCTACATTGGAGGTCGAGACCGAGGAGGAGCGCGTGGACCTCCACGAAACAGCTCCAGAGCCCAGGCTGAAACAGAAACCCTGAGTAGACCTGTGGGTCTCGGCGTCGTCGGCGTAAGAAGAGTCACAGTGACCAGTAAGCACGACGTCCTGTCTCCCTCCAAGTACCAACCCCATGCCTGATGTCGTCGCTAGGTACTTCGCCACCCTCACAACAGCGGTCCAGTGAACAGGACGGTGTCTCCCTGGCGCAACAAAACGAGCAAGGATGCTGAGAGGGTAGGCGAGGTCCGGGCGAGTACAAGTCATCAGGTACATGAGGCAGCCTACAAGCTCTGCGTAGGGACCACTCGGCTCAAACGGCTCGTCAGGGAAGGGACCAGTGAGTCTGTGGTCAACATCAAGAGGTGTGCGCTGTACTGTGGAGTGCTGAAGCTCGAACCGCTGAAGGACCTGCTGCACCATGTGTGACTGTGAGAGTGTAATGGTGCGAGCGGCTCTGTCCCTGGTGATCTGCAGGCCAAGGTAGTGGCGCAGCTCATCAAGGTCAGTGCACGTGTGTCTCTTCTGCAGTTCGCGCTTCACGTCAGCCAAAGCAACCCTGTCAGCAGTGGCGAAAACCAGGTCGTCGACGTAGACCAGTACAAAGAACGGTGTGGAGCCATGACGAACAAACAGCGACGGGTCAGCAGAAGACGGCTGGAAACAGAGGTCAGACAGGGTAGAACGAAGGGTGTCGTGCCACTCACGAGGAGCCTGACGGAGACCGTAGACCAGACGCCTCAGCCTCCACTGGGTCCCAGGAGGGAAAGTGCTAGTGAAGGCAGAGGGACGACGCAACCAGACCTCCTCGTGTAGGCTACCCTGAAGGAAGGCAGTAGAGAAGTCAAGAGAGTGTAACTCGTAGTCTCTCTGTGCTGCTACGTGCAATAACACCCGAAGAGTGGTCATCTTCGGGGTAGGCGCGAAGGTCTGAAAGAAGTCAACTCCCTCGCGCTGACTGAAACCTCTAGCCACATAGCGCGCCTTGAAGACCGGAGGAGATCCCGGTGGCCGCTTCACCCTGAAGATCCACATGCCATCAACTACGTTCGCCCCAAAAGGGGGAACCTCGTCGACGTAGGTGCCTGTGGATATGTAGGAGGCCATCTCTGAGTCCATGGCAGCTCTCCACTGAGAGGCCCAAGGCCCTGACACTGCCTCAGCATAAGTGCGAGGAGTCGGTATGTCAAGGGCGTCGGGGTCTCCCTCAGGGGCGAGCAGCATGGCACAGAGATGAGGGGAAGCGGCTGCCAGGAACTCTAGCTCAAACTGCCTGTCCTCTAGGGCGTCACAGCCAAGGGCAGACTCACCCCCGACGGCCAGAGGACTGGTAGGAGGAGCAGCCACAAGAGTGGTGGCGTAGTCAAGGCGGCGAGTAGAGGCAAACTCAGTGACTGCGGCAGTAAGAGCGGACACAGAAGACAGAGAGGCACGAGGGTCCGTAACAAGAGAGGCGAGAACACTGTCAAGTTACAAAAGTATAAGTGTTGACTAAGGAAAGTGAAAACAAGCAAGATATAGCAAGCATAACCCTAACCCTAGGAAAACATAAAGTACACCTAGAC